TGTAATATTATTATTGAAAATAAGCACAAAGGGGGTGCCTTTCCTGGTGCTGGTCAATTTTATTTCAATAATCATATGGTAGAAACAGAAAGCTACTCACAAACATGAGTGTCACACAGCCATGGAATGAAAGCTGACAAGCAGTTAGACATCCACTGGGCGATTCCTGTGTGCTAGTGACGTTAACGCTTTTCCGGGGCACGCCCCTTAATCCGAACATAACGTCACCTTCCTCATCTCCAACTTTAAAGTGCGTGTGGCCAATCAGGGACGAGCCATAAAGGCTCGCCACGACGTTAATGCTGTCGCGGCCATGGCTGATGTCCGTCTGGGGAACCATGTTAAGGTGGAGTGCCGCGACCAGCCAATAGGGACCCGGGATAGATCGGGCTCCGCCTATTATGCAGTGCTGCACAGAGTGCCGGACCTATCGCACTTCACTTGCTGAATACACCACTCAATGCATTATTTTTAATCTGTTCAAGAAGTGCAAAAAATTCCTGTTGAGTCTACCAGAAATCTAGTGCTATCCTGTGCTTACTGTAGTCTTATCTTGACTGATGTAATCTGGAAGTGTGTTGAGACTACAACACACCCCAAAGTTATGGAGAAGAGAGGCGAGGTGTTCTGCAGTTCTAACACATTTCCTGTCTTATGGTTCTGGGGATGGCACAGTCTTTAGGAGAATGTGCACAATGCAGTACTCTGCAAGCTTCGATACCAAAAAGTGTGTGTGTGTGTGTGTATTTCTCTAAAGTTAGACCATGCCTTTACACCTGTGCCTAAGAAACATGTTGAAACTAACTGTTGTTTCTGTACATTTGGCAGCATAAAGATCTGTCCTGTGTTCCAGCAAACCCATTGTAGTGCCAGTACAGCCCATGAAAACGGCCAGAGTATAGGAAGAATAAGCACACCTTATCCCTCCCACAATGCAGTGCTTAATGGCTGAGAAACAAATAGGTGGCATAAGTAGAATCATATGGGGTGGTGTTCCCAAGCATACACCCACTGTGAAAGGATATTTGGTGGTGCTGAAGTGGTGCTTAGAAGAGGCTTGCTGGGACACAGAAGGCATGCTCTTGTATCTCATAGTGACATCACAGTTGCCGTTCTTTAGTACAGGTCTGTTTTATATGGAAGCTGACTGTTGTAGCTGTATTTTTTCCAGCGTATGTGAGGCAGCCGAAGCACCTGTCCAGACCTGTTCACACACTGGCATAACATAAACTCCATGCAGATAATCCTAGGTGGGAACAGAAGACATGATCCCAGTAATATAAAACAGTGTATAACCTCTTTTTTCTTCCCTGCATGACTTGTACTTTTCTCAATCACTTTAATGCAGTGTATTCATATTTGATTCTGCTGATCTTTCCATGCTGTCCGTGTGAGTAAAGCATTTAAGATTCCATTATTATACAGATATAAGATATGAAGGTTCAGAGATCAGGTTAGAGGACTGAATAGGTGCTTACTCTGCAGAGGACTACATGGATTATGAATACTCCACGTCTTCATCCCCACACACACACATGAGAGGTGGATTATGAGTGCTCCCCGTCTTCCTGCACGCACGAGAGGTGGAATATGAGTACTCCCGGTCTTCCTCCACGCACGAGAGGTGGATTATGAGTGCTCCCCGTCTTCCTGCACACACTAGAGGTGGATTATGAGTACTCCCCGTTTTCCTCCACGCACGAGAGGTGGAATATGAGTACTCCCGGTCTTCCTCCACGCACGAGAGGTGGATTATGAGTGCTCCCCGTCTTCCTGCACACACTAGAGGTGGATTATGAGTACTCCCCGTCTTCCTCCACGCACGAGAGGTGGATTACGAGTACTCCCCTTCTTCCTGCACGCACGAAAGGTGGATTATGAATACTCCCCCGTCTTCCTGCACGCACGAGAGGGGGATTATGAGTGCTCCCCGTCTTCCTGCACGCACGAGAGGTGGAATGAGTGCTCCCCGTCTTCCTGCACGCACGAGATGTGGATTATGAGTACTCCCCTTCTTCCTGCACGCACGAAAGGTGGATTATGAGTGCTCCCCGTCTTCCTGCACGCACGAGAGGTGGATTATGAGTGCTCCCCGTCTTCCTGCACGCACGAGAGGTGGATTATGAGTGCTCCCCGTCTTCCTGCACACACTAGAGGTGGATTATGAATAGAGCTGCAACAATTATTTGATTAAAATCGACGATGGAAAACGTTGTCAACGTTTTCCATCGTCGATTCGTCGGCTAAAATTCAAATTTCCCGCTCACGCCCGCCGCTTACGCCACGTCCACGTCAGTTAAGCCGCTCGCACCTACGCTGGTATACCCGCTTACGCCACGCCCACGCTGAGGACATGCGTCTGGCCCTCTCCTCCCGGTGAGCTTCCCGACTTGCCGCTGCCCGTCGACAACATGAATGTCGGACATCCAATAGACATGCAGATATTTCTGTTAGTCTCCTGTTTGCAGCTATTTGTGGGTGAACATTTTCTATAATGCACCTGCACAGGAAACCTCATGTCATCTACAGGAAGCACATTGTAGTTCTGATTTTCAGATGACCATGGCTGGCTTTTTACAAGGAGAGACTTTTTGTACATCTCTGTTCGGTTATAGTTAACCCCTGATTTGATCTGATTTTGTGGAAATGGGGAGTTGAGTTTGAAATACAAACTACAGACTTTCCACTGCACTGGGAATTGCTGTCCAGTTTGGAAGATGTATTTGAAGCTTTCCCTTTCTGTCCTGGCAGGCTATACTACTCATCCCCTATTGTCTTCCAGCGATCAGTAAAGCTGCTGGCTTATGAAACAACTAGTAGACCAATGTGTAGCCACTGATCTGATGTCCCGTCTCCTTTTCTAACCACGGGAAGGTTGTTCCTATGGGAAAATAGAACCTCTTTCTTCCAGTTGGTATAATCCAGGCCGGCAGTGAGGGGGAGAAGCAGCAGGCTGCTGGCGAGATAACACACTGAGCTGCTCACAATGGTGTTCATCTGGCAGTGTTACAAAGGAGCTCCAGGGGAATTGCTGGGAACTAATCCTATTGTTTGCTCCTTTTTCAACCAAGCATCTTCCAAGTGTCCTGGTTTGGAAGTCAAGCCTCTCACTACCTGTATGATAGCTTTAAAAAATCCATAGAAATGTTCTTTTAAAGGTCCTATTTTCTGCTTTGGGATCAAGCCTATAGGAAACCCAAGCTTGAGGCTGACATTTCCTTATGAAAATGCTACTTCCCTGTCTTTCATGATGATGCGATGGCTTCAATACTTTAAGGCCCTCAACCTAGTCCTGGCTTTTTGATCTGCATGCACATTCTGGCTTTATTGTTAATGAAAGTCAGAGGTTATTGTTACAGAAGTCAGAGACGGCCGGGCAAACTGCATTTATTTCTCTCGGGAGTTCTTTTAGCAAATTTTAAAGAACAGCTCTGGGTAAAATAGTTATTAACCCATGCAGTGGGGCTACCCCTGCACTGCAAGGATTAAGTGCTTGTTTTTGGCTAGGGTCAAAAATAACAATGTTTTATTCACCCGATCCTTTAGGGTTTGTTCACACCGAAAGCGTGTGCATTCCAGAGCGGTTGCAATTCAATTTACCGTTTTTTTTTTTTAATGCAAGCATTGTAAGTTCCTGAATGTGACTTGGTATTGCCCTCCTGCAGTCTGTGTACAGAAGCACTTAGACATGGGAGAAACGGCACAAGGAGCCAATCCGGTGTGCTGTAGAGCTAGAAGAATGTGGTTAGGGGAAGAGAGCAGAGAGAAGAGAAATGAGCTATGAATGAAAGAAAAGCAATGGACTCCGGTCCTCTCCTCGCCCAGGCAGGACTGTGCTGTGTAAACTCAGAACTAGACAGACCTACAAATCCTTTGTCAGATAAAAGGGCTCCCATATCTGTATTTCAGGTGTGTATTTGTCTGGAATTCGGTTTTAAGTGGCAATGAATGGCCAGGGTCTGTTTTGGTATAAAAGGAACATTTTCAAACCCCAGGAAGGCTGTGATGGAGATTCCGTAGAGCTGCACCTTGCTGTAACATTTCAGTTTGCAGCTAAAAGTCAAATAGCTCAGATACTGTGTTAGGTTTATAGGTACGGTATCGCAGTGATTCAGACTGCACACACTATTGTATCGTTGTGTAATATCACTACAGATATCTTGGTGCCATCACATGTGCTGAGGGTGTGTGACAAAGTGTGGTAAGATTACCTCATGAAGCCCATGACTGGGATCGGCAGTGTCATGAGACACAAGAATATGATATCTCACATCTGTATCCTTTCACAATAATAGTGTTTGACTTCAATAAAGCTGCTCTTTACAAGTAGGCTATGTGAATGTCTGTTTTATAGACCCATCCTAAAATGTAATGGCTGCCCCCTCTCTGCCAATCCCCCCCACTGACTTCCAGCAGTGCAATGCATACAATTCATAATACTAACAACAACATGCAAAGCCATCCACTACTCTGCCCCCGGGCTACATCTCCGATCTCCAAGATATCACCCGTCACCCATCAAAAATGAATGTAAATGGTATATTTTCTTTCCCAGTCAAATGTAATATCAGGAAAATTCCCCATTATGTCCAATAGATGGAGCTGAGGAGCCCAGGAATGATGTATTTATCTCCTATGCGCCTCAGCTCCATCTATTGGACATAATGTGGTATTTTCTTTATTGCATTTAACTTGGAAAGAAAATATACCAATAGTTTTTGCCTTGGTTCGTACAGAATGAGCGTACACGGAGATCCCTAAGAAATGCACAAAGACTCTTGGTTCCACAATCTGCTCCATTACCTGTACCCTGGGCCCACTGAGATGACGGGAGGGTCTCTTATGATCACATTGATGGTAACTGAATTAGGAGAGGCAGTAACACTGATTTGAGATAAATATTGGGAATAAGGAGAGCTCACATTTCTGGGTTCTTCACATCTTGGAATGGATGTTTGTGAGCGTTCCTCTAATAATGGTGTGTTTTTGACTTTTTGCAGGCCCAGAATCTTCAGCTCAGTAAAGAGATGACACTTGCTGGCAACCGGAGCTTGGCAGAGGCAAACCTGCTTTACCAGCCCAGGATGGACAACTTAAAAGCCACTCTGACACAGAAATACCAAGAGCTGCAGACAGTCATGGAGTCCCATCAACTGAAGAAGACAAAACTGGGTGAGTTCAAATCCTTGGAAACCCCCTCTGGTGCTGAAGTTGCATTCCCTTCATCTGGCATCTTCAGTTTGCCTTTGTTCGGTTATTGCTTGTTTGTATGTAATAGTGTGATTTGAGTAATCGCATATTGGTAAAGCAAACATTTTGGACAGTGAAGGAAAGGATCAGAACCCATATCAGGTTTTTTTTTTTTTTTTTTTT